CCATAGAAGTGGGAAGACTACTTCACCTTGAAGGCAGCCTTTTATTACCTCTAGTTGAGTCCCTATCTCTATATCCTACATTGACAGCTCTGCATTGTAAGATTTGCCCAATCCATGTGCAAAGCATAGGCCTAACACAATGTTTACTCCGAGCTGTATAGGACTTGAAGTAAGCCTTGTCGAAGGCTTATTCTATTTCTATCAGTGAGGACATTTTGTTGCAGGGCGGAGTAATAGATTTTCATGAAAGAAAAAATTCTGGTTTCCGAGTAAAAAATTCACTTCTACAGTTTAAGTTTATTATGTTGTCATGTTATAAGATATGAATTGATTAAATAGATCCCCTATAGAGCACAGTGCCGTTTGTATTAAAATAAAAAATAATTATAAAATCAGTTAAAAAATTTGCCGTTTGTATTAAAATAAAAAATAATTATAAAATCAGTTAAAAAATTTACTGTTTTTAAATTAAATGTAATAAAATAAACTTTGTTTTTGCAAGTTGGTACCGCTATTTATGCAATGTACTATGCTCCACACCTCAAAGTCCCACCACGTGACTACGGAATAAGTATACCCGTATTAAAGGTAGGTTAATATATTATAAAAAAATATAATCTAATTTTGTAATTTTAAGGTTGGAAAAATTTATTTTGACCAAAATAAATATTTTGGATTATTTGAAAGTCTGTATAATATGGTATTTAAAAATGTGGTAGTTGTTCTAATCCAGCTTAAGGTGTACCTACATAAAGTTTTGTCAATACAAATGCCTAGTTATAATAAAGCTTCGACTGAATTTGATCTACATCAAAAAATCCTTATAACTTTAAAAATTTTAATAAATCACATGTCATGGGAGTATTAAATATTTTCACATTGCATGTTTCTCTAAAAATTGTTTGTTTTCTTATAATCTAACTTAAAGTAGGTATGCCGAGAGGTATGCACAAGTTTTGTCGTTAAAAGTTCTAATACATTAACCTACCTTTGATACAGATATTCTTATTCCATAATAGAGAAGTTAGATTTTTTTAATAAATGCGGTTTAGTTAAAACTATTTCATGGAGATTTAAATCTAGGCCCAATGCACAAAAATATCACTTATTTGGCACTATACACTTTGGAATTTCATTAAATGCAGTATTTATATTCCTAAATTCTTAAACCAACCATTGTTATTGTGATACTGTAAATATTTATTAACTTTTAACGCTTAAACATAAGCGGTAATACTATAAATATTATTTCTTTCATTGACTATACTTTGACAGATACATAACCTGAAAACCCTTAAATGCCAAATTTTTAAAAGACTGCGTTCCGTACGTGGTCACGTGGTGGGACTTTGAGGTGTGGACACGGTCTTATATACAGGTCTTGCAACTTCGCCCAATTTCAATAGGAAAAGTGACCTCTCTAATGAGACACCCACCAGATGGCGCATCGAGTTGAGGGTGAACCATATATGTTTAAAGGTCGTTTTTACCTTCTTTATCTTTGGGTTTTAAAATCGTTAGATAAGCTCTCTGGTGGATAATTTTCTTAGATAGAAGGTTTCTATGAAAGTTATCCGCCAAATAAGCTAACTTAATCTAACGATTGTAAAACCGGCTCTAAGTCCTTAAAGTCTATGGGATAAAAGGTCAAATGAACTACCTACTTATGTTCTGTGAAGAAACATAACCTACATTTTTATAAACAAGCTTGTGTATTTTGTTACAGGAAGTTTTTACTTATTGTTATTGTGATATTCGATATTGTTATTTTATATTGTTCTATTTTTTCTTGTTATATTTGTTCTTGTTATACATTTGTATTTGTGCTTTTTAATAGACATGATGTCCTGTGTTGTGCCAAAATGTAACCAGCAAAGCTATCGTTCCGGCATTAAAATTAAGCGGTCCATGTTTAAAGTGCCAACAAATAAGGAGTGGTTAAAAACATGGCAATGTGCAATAAAAAACATTATTGACACCTTCACATTTTGTATGATTATTATATAATTAAGCACATCGTGTTGGTGAAATATATATTATTTTAAATAAACAATCAACCCATCCCCGCCAAGACAATAAAAAAATCGGTTATTAATAAATTAGCCAGAATATTGGTTGGTTAGTTTGTAAAGCTTGGCTATGTTGTGTTACTAGAAATTTTGGTTTTCATATTAGCCAAATTGAATTGGATAGTTTACAAATTATCCAGCTATTCCTAAATAATTTCAAGTAAATTAGCCAAGACCCTTGGTTGGTTTACAAACTAGCCGCTAATTTAGTTAAAAATACGTTTTCAATTAAAATAGCTGACAGTTTGGCTAGTTTATAAACTACCCAGCTACTTTATAAACTATCCATGTTTACACATTAGCTGTAACATATACGAGTATATGATATACGTATGTATTTTATACATTAACATGTTTTACTTACATGTTTGGTCTGGGCATGTGACGGCCGAGGACTTTGTGCATAGAGTATAGACTTTGTTGTCCTATTTTGTTAAAGTAAATTATCCGAAACAAAACTCACAAATATTAAATTATTGAAAATGTAAACAAAACATAGAAAAAGAATTTAAAAAGTTAGGTTATGGTTATGCAGTAGTTCCACATTTAACTAAGTAGTAGTTTAATTGACTTTACCCCTTCGATCTTAGCGCCACCTAGCGGCTTGGCACGTTAAGGAAGCCACCTCGAAGCTTAAAGTTGCAAGACCTGTATATAAGACCGTGGGTGTGGAGCATAGTACTGCACGAACCTCCCTAATCAAACAATCTTATACATAAAGTATTTTCGGTCGATGAAAAAAAATTATCTCACGGAATTTCGTTAAAATGTCAAAAATTAATTAATTGCGCTTCATTGTATTCTTAGGGACCCCAGTATTTTTTTGTATCCAAACAAAAAGATTTACCTCAAGAAGGTTTTTCCTGAAACAGATGCATATTTGTTGTTTACAGCTAAAAAAATTTAGAAACAAAATATTTTAAAAATGAATCCACCCAATATATTGTGTTTTTCAATTGTTTTGTGTAATCCATCCCAAAATGAATCACCAATTCTATAACAAATATATTTTTCACTTAAAACGTAAAATTGTTTTGACCGAATAAACCATATTAAATTTAGGATAATATTATTGTAATACTACTTACACAAAGTAACCCCATAAGAAATCTTACAATTATAAGGGCAATAGAACTCCAGGCTGCTACTACAGGTGTTAAAAGTGTAAACACTGCTGTGCCAATACTCGCTATCCTTATAATCATTTTACCGCCAAATTTTTCCGATAAAATACCACCCGGTATTGATGTTAAAATTATACCCCAAAATAAAGCTGCCAAAATATGGCCCTGTATCTCATGTGACCAAACAAATCTTTCACCAAACTACAAATTATTTCATTAATTATTCAAATTATGTATTTTTTTGTTTTACATCGTATTCACTCATAGGTTTGGGATCCTCCGAAGTAAAACCTAAAAAATTGCTTTCTTTCTTCTCTAATGTGCATACAGGTATACTTTTAGTTGTTACATTTTTTTCGTGCTTTACCATTGCCATTATTAAAATAGACATGTTTACTCTTAACATATAATTAACGAATGTACAGGGGTCAAAATTTATTTACAGGCACTTTTCAGTCCCTGGTAAAACAAAATTTTTTTTCAAGCATTACCTGGTTACACATACCATTCCTGTGTAAAGGCACATATTTTCCAGTAAAAAACAAAGTACGGTAGCTTTTGTATAAAAAAAATTAAAAGTAACGAAGTTTAAAATGACAAAATGTAACGCCGGTCACATGTCCCTGTCGTCTGTTTATTATGTTAAATCTGTTGCATTTCACTGTCCAAAGTTGAAAATAAATATTTAAATAATTTACGATATAGAAACAGTTACGTAATTTTTTAATCAATTTTTCTTATACTCCTCTTTACAATATCAAAGTTTCGGTAGTGCCTTAAAGCTGTGTCCCCCAGATTGTCCGTAACGCCGGTAGCACTCCATATACGCTCACATTTTTGTCGCCAGAGGCGCTAATATCAGTCTTCGTTAAATTTTGTGTTACGAAAACTTTGCTGCTAGTGATTTTGCATTAAAATGGTAAGTTTTCATTAAATTTTCTTAATTTTTCCTCAAATTATGAAAAAATTAGTTCATGCGTATGTTTTTGTGTCGTAACACCGGTCACATGGCCTATTTTTAATATTCTTCAAATTTCTTATTAATTGCTAAATATAAAAGTATTTTATTTATTTATTTATTTACATCAATATATGCGTTCACAATAAATATGAATATTTTTTTATTTCGTTATTACGTTTTACAAAATTTGTTTAATAATCTATGATTTGAACGTGTGACCGGCGTTAAAAAAGGTTGCTTAAGGAAGATGCCGGAAATTCAGAAACCTACATATCCAGTGCGGACACATACAAAATTTGGTAGAAGAAACCTGTACCAACTAAAAAAATTGGGGTTTTTTAAAATGCACCGACTTTTATTTTTTAACTTTTATTTTTCGGAATTGGCCCGTAAATAAATTTTGACCCACAGGTAAAAAACATTATCCATATTATGGATCTTCTTGGAAAATAAACTACAAATATTATTAAATAGGATTTGTGATAAATATAGGCAACTAACTATGAATGTTTGAGCCTTGAAAATATTAGTAATATACGTACACTTTTCCATAAATAATATTTTCTATTTTATCTACATATAGGTACAATTCTTTATCACTTTTTATTATTTTTAAGGCATTATTAACGTCAATGTTAACCTCATTAGACGTTTTGTTGACATTTTTTTTTAAATTTTATGTAGGTACACTTGTTCCAAATAGAAAAGGTTTTAAACAGTTAGTTACTGATAAAAAAATGTAAAGTACTTTTATTTAAAAAGATCATTGGTAATCACAATTTAAAACTTAAACTATTTAAAAAAATATAATTTAATAATACTTATAATAACATAAAATTAAAAATAGTTCCTCAAATCACATAACTATAAATGTTTTTTCACTTTCAACTTATTTTGTAAGGTTAAACTTTTGTATTTTCAGCATCTGAAATATATGCATGATTTTCTGCTCCTACCTTGGTGGTACTTTCTTCCGTAGAATTCCATGGTTGAAGATCTCCACTCCCAAAAAATATAAAGAATATTGCACATGCTATGTATACTGAGGAACCAATGTAGAAAATAATATGCCATTCGTCCAAACCATTCTAAAACAGTTAACAAATATATTTTTGGGTAAAAGATTTTTTTCAAAAACGTACATGTTTCGATGTCAAATACCCCACAATCAGTGGAGATATGAATCCTGTCGTACTTCCAATACAATTTATTATACCGTATAAGGTGGCTGCGAAATTAGGAGCCAAGTCCTGAGAATTTTGCAAGTTTGTTAAAGTTGAGGAACCATTTAAACCAAGTGATAACGTAATTAAAATTATAGCCCAGTTAGCATTACAACCTGTAAAGGTTTGGCCCAAAAGAAGAAGTCCTGGCATTATATGAGCTAAAAAAAGTTATTTTTTTACTATTTAATATCGTAATATTCCTATACTTACATAGGAATACAAAGCTTTTTCTCGTCATTGTAGTTGACATCCATTGATGCTTTCTTATAAAATCACCTATCGATCCGAATATAAATCCAAAAATAAGCCTTGCTAAGTATGGAAGAGCCGCCAATATTCCTGTATGGCCTAAATCAAAGCCCAAAACTGAAGACATAAAAGTTGGACCTGCTGTCATTAAAAAAAATAGACCCCATAAGTTACCAAAATGAAGTACCACAAGGGCCAGAAATGGAATCGACGTGAATATATCTTTATATGGAGCTATTTTCTAAAATGTTATATGTAAGTATTTTATTTTTTGATTGTATTAAAAAATGTAACCTTTTGTTTATTTATTGTAACACCCAGCCCAGCTTCAATATATTCTTTTTCTGTAATGTTGATTCTGGGATGATCCGTTGGGCTATCTCTTACAAAGTAAATCCAGGCTACACACCACAATAACACTATGGCACCATTAGAGAAAAAACCCCAATTCCATCCAAGGTTTTCAATAACAGTTCCTAGGAGTGGCCATGTACAAACAGTGCCCATAGCTCCTCCTAATAAGGCCCCCATAAACTTGCCTTTTTCCTGAGCTGGAACCCATCTGGCCACCAAAGAATGTAGACATGGGTATACTACACCCTAAGGAAAAATTTGTTTTAATAAAAAAAATTAAAAGTAGTTTCACTCACACCAAACAATCCAATAAGGAATCTAGACACAATTAAAGCTATTGCATGCCAAGAAGCTGCCAAAGGCCCTAGAAGAGTTAAGCCTCCAGATACCAAAAAGGAAATGGTGATAACTTTTGTAGGGCCAAATTTTTCCGCTAAAGCTCCTCCAGGTATACCAGTAATCGTAAAGCCCCAAAAGTAGGCTGATAAGATTAATCCTTGTAGTTTTTTATCCCATTCGTAACGAGGTCCATACTAAAAAAATGTAAATCAAAAAATTAGCGTGCCAACGCAGATAACAAATTTAAAGTACATTACTATTAATATTAACAAATTTTAGTCTTATATAAAAATATGTATGAAAACGAAACAAAGGAGTTTTCGGGTTTATAATTTATAAAATAAGTAAATAGTCAGTAAAATTATAATATTAAATAAAGGGTGTCCCATTAAGACCGCCTATTTTAAATTTAGTGTCATTTTTTGTGTCAATCGTACAGCGTTGGACAGTGGTCATGTGTGAACATTGAGGTTAAGTCATGTAGATTTACACGGACGCACAACGCATAGAAATTGTAAAAATCCACTATCGAAATGGTGAGAATTTTTCGGAAACGGTTTGAAGATATCGTGGATTTTTCGGTCACCATAACGCACCTTCTCGCCGTACTGTGGTCCGACTAATCGAGCAATTTGAAACGATTGGGTCAATTCAAACCAAAAAGAGACATGTCCGTGTTTGTACATCTCGGTCTGCTGAAAATATTGCAGCAGTTAGTGAAAGTGTTGAACATAATTCTTCAACCTCGATTCGCCACCGTTCCCAGCAATTGAGACTCTCGAAGCAGTTTACAGCGAATTTTGGCCAAAGACCTGCATTTTCATGCGTACAAGATTCGGTTGACACAATATTTAAAGACAGCAGACCATGCACAGCAACGAAACCATGGAATTATTAAGGACAAAATTTGAAGGCAGAGTTATCTCGCGCCGCGAGGATTTGATGTGGCCAGGCCGACCATGCGATTTGAAGCCGTTAGATTTCTTTCTTTGGGGTTTTTTAAAGGAAAAGGTTTATGCTAATAACCCAAGAACAGTTCCTAAACTAAAACATGAGATTCGACGGGTCATTGACGAAATTGTGCCGGCACTATGCCAAAATGTAATCTAAAATTTTGTCAAAAGAATCAACGTGTGCCGTCAGTCACGAGGCTGCCTTTTATCGGATATTGTATTCCATATTTAACCTCCATGTCTTCCCTCTTTATTGCAATAAAAATATCTAATTTTTTTAAATAAACACTGCATTTTTTTTAAATTTTAAAATAAGCGGTCTTAATGGGACACCCTTTATTATATGGTAAATATATTATTTAATGCTTACATCGGGATAGGATACGTATTTATCAAAATGACTCCCTGTATCATTTGTATAGTTATTTTTTAGTGAACATTCCGGAACAAATACTTTTGAATCCAAAGATTTTCCTGGTTCCACCATTGCTATAATAAGTATGGACATATTCACCCTTATCATGTACAAAATAAAGGTGCAGGTAAAAAGCATTACCCATATTATGGACCTCATTGGTATTAAATCTAAAAGATATGTAATACATTTACAAATTTTAGAGACACTTTATGGCCGTTTGACAATTGCTTTAGAAAGCTTAATGATGTTAACATCCTTAAGCTTCCTAAAGCCCCTGAAGGCTTTAGGCTAAAGCATTTTGAAGATGACACCAATCTATATTTCAAATATTTTATTACTTTAAAACCTCTTACTCAAACATTTAGATTTTTTAAGAAGTGCTACCTTTAAAGTAACTTAGCATCTTTAAAGGGCTCTAGCACTAAAACATTTTAGGTATATTACCATTATGTTACTCACCGTTTGGAAAAATATTACAAGCCATTGTGTCAGTCAAAATTATCACAGATATACAATAAATACTAAAAATTTGATTATTTCATCTAAAACACAAACATATTTTTATTTGCAAAAATACAATATAGGTATGTAGAGATAAGTAATGAATGTCGCATCGCGAAAAATTCTTGTGAACATTAATTAACATGACACTTTAATAGTCCTAGTATCAGATAAAACTCTAACAAATTGATTTGTAGTTAAATTGGAAAAAGGAAGTGTTCATTATAATAATAATAGGAAATAAGTAATTTTAACAAACAATACAATTTTACGAAAATTATATGGCTAATATTGTTATGCAATAACTTATTTTGACAGTAAGTCTATTTAAGGTTTTTGGTCGATGATATTTAATAGCACATTCATATATATGCTTAAAAGTTAAATAAACATTAGTTTCGTATTACGTACAAAAAATTCTTTAAATTGTTTTACTTATTAAAGTTATTTGCATTACCTTGTGTTATAGAAAGTCTCTAATTGTTATGTATGCGACAAAAAAGAAATTATTTAAAGTGAAGAAACTTTGCAAATTAATTATATATGTTAATATAACGGTTTTTAATCATGACCAATATGAGACATTCTTTTACATATCGTACGGATTACAGAAAACATATTTTTTCAAATTTTTAAAATGACTTAATTTTTTTTTACAGCATCTTTTCATAAATTTAGCCGACCCCTATATCGGAATTTTTGCAGAAAATTTATTTTTCCAAAGATATATTGATTTAAACTTTTGATAAAATTTGAAAAAATGCTGAATTCTTTTGTACTTAAAATTCATTATCTCCTGTTCTACTGATCGGATCGATTTCATTTTTTTTTTATTTTAAACCATATTACATAGTCTTTTTAGATAAATATTTAAAAAGTTTGTGTTTTGTTTATTATATGAAAAAAATATTTTTTTTTGTATAAACAGATTTTTTGTGTTTGCCCCCTCTATGAAAAAAAATTAAAAAAATACTGTTCTATGCACTATTTATTACTCTACAAAATGAATTTTTCAGAAAAATGGAGACTTTTTTGGATCGGAAGATATTAAATATTTTCGAGCGCGTGACCAGTACAAGCCGTAAGGGGGCATCCATTAATTACGTGAGGCGTTTAGGGGAGGGAGGAGGTCAAGCCAAATCTCATCAATTCTCACGTAAGGGAGAGGGGGGGTCTCGGCAAATATCACGTAATTTTTAACAAAGTATGTTTTTTTAATAAATCCAACAGAATCAAGCAGTTTAACGTATAAACATTAAAAATAAGCATTTTTTAAAATCTCACGTGAGATTAGGGGGAGGGGGTTGAGCCAAATCTCACGACATATCAGCAAGGGGGGAGGGGGTCAAAAAATCGCTAAAATTGACTCACGTAATTAATGGACACCCCCTAATCAGACATCTTCGAAACGCTAACACATTTAGGATTAGTGATGCCGCCGAACCGGAGAGATTCTCGCCTCTCGTCTCGTCTCGTCTCGACGAGACGAGAGGGAGATTTTCTATCGAAAAAAGGCTCGAGACGAGACGAGAGAATGCCCTCTCTTGCTCTAGAATTTCTCGTTTCTCTCGATCTCTCTCGTTCTCTCGATTATTCCGGTAATAAGTAAACAATTTTTTTACATAAAAATTTTAATTTTGCGATATTTATTTGGACCAATGAGAACATTATTCGCATTTCATAATAAACAAAATTTGTTCCTGTATAACGTTTTATTATTTTATAACACAACTTAAGGTTAACCAAGAAAAAAATTACTTATAAAATAATATTAATTTTTAAAATTTACCCTGTATAAGCACATTTATGGCACTCCTTATACTATTAAACAACCCGTATGCTTAATAAGCATTGCTTATTCAATGAACTTATCAACAACATGTGGTTTTTGAGGGGCTGATTACAAATTTGATATCCATTTCTTCAAAAAATAAAATGGCTGATCCAATATGACGAAAATTTGTTGTTCGGCTTTAATGGTTTGGGTAAAATTTAGTATTTAGATATTTATGGGGTCCCTGATTAAGAATTTGATATACATTCAAAAAACAAAATTGCGGATTCAAAATGACGGACATGCGCAGTAGGTACAAGATGGTTGGATCTATGTGGAGTAGTTACATCATATAGACGCAGTAGTTTTCAGATGGATGGATGATTTGATCCATCCATCTGAAAACTACTGCGCCTATATACTACACTGAGAAAAAAAATGGGACAAATAAACTGTGTAGTTAATCCTTTTATTAATAGTGAATACATTGTTTATTACCTCTAAATAGTCGAAATAATAACGATAAATATAAATATATATATAAATATTTTTTTTATTTGGGAGCAATAAACTTTTTTCTCAGTGTTACAGTTACATCTATAGATGTAACTACTCCACATAGATCACACATTTTCGGCGTAAAAAGTCTTACTTTATCAGTTTGGTCTTGGCACAATTTTTTTTTATTTCCAGTTTAAATTTATATAGAAAAAATATAAACGAATACGTATTTAATTGCAAATAATTTTTGTATTCATACATAGGTACTTTTACCACGAGAGAAACGAGACGAGACGAGAGAAAGGCACTCTCGAGCGAGAAAAGAGTATTCTCGACGAGACGAGAGACCCATTTTCTCTCGCTGCACGAGACGAGACGAGAGAAGGACTTTTCTCGTCTCGTCTCGTCTCGCGGCATCACTATTTAGGATAGTGTAAACTCATACATCGTTTTAAAAAAATACCAGCGCTTTTTGTAAATTAATTCTGATTTTAAAGGTTTTCAATAATTTTAAATAAATTAAATTTTAAATAATACAAACTCCAATTAATGAGATGTCGAATCATGGCACTCTTATACAAAATATCACGTCACCCGCCACATGCACTAATACGTTTGAATATTACGCGCTTGACAGTCCTGTCACGCGCTCGAAAATGTTTAATATCTTCCGATCCAAAAGAGTCTCCACTGTTCTGAAAAATGTATTTTGTAGATAAAGAAAAAGCGCATAAAATAGTATTTTTTTCCTTTTATTTTATAGAGGGGGCAAACATGAAAAACTAGTTTAAAAAATTAATCTGTTATTAACTCCCTATACCAAAAAAAAAAAAAAATTTAATTTATTTATTTGAAAAGCCTATTCAATAAGGTTTAAAACAAAAAAAAAACAAAATCGATCCGATCAGTAGAACCGGAGATAATGGGTTTTATGTAGAAGAGAATTTATCGTTTTATCGCAATTCATAAAAACTTTATATCAACATATCTCTGAAAAAACAAATTTTTTACAGAAAACCTGATACACGTATTTGCTTATTTACTGAATAGAAGCGGTAAAAAAATTTTCATGCGAATCCAAACCCTGATGTCAAAATAGGTGTACGATTTGTAAAAGAATGTCTCATATACATGATTTTAATGATTTGGTTTAAATGTGAAAATATAAAGGTCATACTGTGTTTTGCAAGGTTTTAAGTATGTCATCTTATATAATAGTATATCATGTATCAAGTTTTATAAACGCCATTTTAGTTACCTACTAGTTTTATTAGGCACGAGCGAAGAATTTAAAGCCAATTTTATTTAAACATTTGACCTTACTTTTCTCTAATTTATAGTAAAGCTAACCCCTGTGACTAAAATGCCATAAAGTCACAGTTCGACAATTTAGGAGTAGATAAAATAAATTATTGTTTTGTGGCATTTTAATCTAAAACTACTAATTAATAGAAATTTAAGTTTGACAAAAAAAAATTTCATTTATGTTAAATCATTAGTAAACATGTCAATGTTATCCAGATTAAGTAGATAAGTATTTAAACAAATATATTATATAGTTTTCTTAAGTTAAACCTATTTACGCACGACATGCGACTTGCCGTGGAACGCTCTGTGATATGACGTGACGAATCGCTGCAAAGCTGACCTTTATTATCTATGGCCGTAACGGTCCGTGAGCAATGATGTATTTACAAAAATGCCTCTAGCAACCAATTTCCGAACAATATTCTACGAAATAATATATTGAATATGAATTTATGTAAATATAATTCATTCAATAAAATTGGGACCATAATTTGGCTGACTTCTTAAACGTTCTAAGCGAATAAACGCACCGCACAGTGCGGTGCAACGCTATAGATAATCAATAAGCTGGAAATATAACCCGTACAAAGAGGACACAGACGAACAGGAAGTACTTCAAAACCAGCAAGGATATATCCTAGCAGCATATTAACCCCAAATGAATGGGGTTATTTCTAAAACCGGATTGTACTTAGTCAGTTCAAGGCCCCCAAAAACCATATTGTCCCTCCTTGTCCTAGTGTAAACACTCCACTAGCCTAAATCTGGCGTATGGTTCGACCCGGCGACCAAAATCCGGAAGTGGCCTTAACCATCCGCAGTGTCATCCACGATCTCCTATGGAAGATTTATTTACCTGCCGGGGTAAAAATTCGGATCCACCAAACACAGGTAACGCTGTGCAGTGGCAGGATACGTATGAGAACCGAAAGGGGGTAAAATAACCCTGGAAGATTAGTGTAAGACGTTGCCGATGGGGCCTGCCATGCGTCCTTATACACTGTTCAAAATCAAGTCTTTTGAAATACCCAATCAGAATTAGTAAAGGAAAAATAAGGTAATATGCTTAAACGAGTAAAGCAATTTACCTTTTCGTTTATTAGGCAGAAATGAATGTCTAAGTTCTATGGTGTATTCGCTAACTTCTAGATAAATATTCATACTTTACTTAATAAACTTGTCAAATTTAAAAAGATAGGCAGATTACCTAAATATTTAGTCAAAATCTCAATTACTTTTAGGTACGACAATTTTGCTTTTAATTTAGGTAATTATTCTAAATTATTATGGCAAATTATTGAACTAATTTAGGTATATTCCTTTAATTATTAGTGACTTACTTGCAATCGGCTACGATAGCTAACACCGACGTTTTACGATAAATATTCGAGCCTATATTGTCCACCATAATGCCAAAATCAACGAAACCTTAAAGACCGCGTTGTGTGCTATTGATAT